GTACCAGACGCATTTCTTGAATGTTTTTTGAAGGAAATGCTGGATGTGCCGATTTTCGCGTTTTTCGGCAAGATCCTCCACGCTCTTGTGATATCAGATGTGACGGCTGCCACTACAGGTGAATTCTTGGGTTTGTTTTCTTTGTTCTTTCTTCAAAAGAAATTATCTTTTTTTTTCAGAATTTGGGTCGCTCTCAGTATAGGTCTCTCAGTGACACTGGTAGTTTTTTCGGCTGTCATCGTGTGTATCGTTCTTGCGTTGGTATTTTCTCTCTATATTCTCTTCAGCCAACCAAAGCAAATTCGTGTGGTAAGTTCCATATAAGTTACCTATTTTACACTTTCTTACGTCCTTTTGGTGGTCTTTCGTCATCAAATATTGTTCTCACATTGAATCACAATTATGGCTTTTCCATGTAGCTTTTTTGGTCGGTGGGGGGGGGGGGTGATATCTCTTCAGTGGAATGAACCTGTATGTCCAAAACAAAACTGGATCTAAATCCATTAAGTCCCTAAGCGCTGTGATTTTATAAACCGTCAAAGTTCAACGGATAGCATTTAACTGACAGAGGTTCCGAATGATTCGACTGAAAGTTCCATCATGCACTCGAAAGGCTGTACATGAAGAACAGTTTAGACGATGTAAGGGCACCAAAGAGACAGATACCTGTGGACCCTCAATTGTCCAACCAGTATGCCAGTGAGGCCTAGAGAATTCAATATTTTCGGAAGTTTTTGGGTGGCTTTCTTCGAGGCATTTGAAGTCCGGATGCTGTCTTTGCTGTCCATGGGTTTCTTTTTGAAAAAATTCTTTACGGATTCATGTATATTTAGTCTCATATTTCCTATCAAACGTTGACACTCGCAATTTTATTACTTCGAACGACTTCTTTCCAAAGCGTGTTTAGTTAATAACTAGAAAATTCCATATTTTGTAGGTCGATGTTGTTCATAGGAGAGTCGCGAAACCGACTTTGAGGAAGGAGGCGGTTCAGCGTGGCGTTTTGGGGACACTGCGGAGAATGCTACCGACTAAGTTTTCCCGTATTTATATAGTTATGGTTTCATATTCACTTTCCCACTTTGCAGTTACTTAGAGATTTCGATGGAGCTCCAGCTCTGATCTTTGGAGCTAACGTTTCATTCCAGTTATTTTCATTGCTTTCGACATTCTTCACTTACTCAGATCACTCACTTACTCTGATCATCATCTCATGCGCAATCGAAAAAACGCTTTATCGGTTTCATTATAGCAGTAATAAAAAATGTATAGTTTGTATGACATGTGGAAAAGTAAGACGACGCGGGAAAATCAAAACAAGTTTACCTACACTTTATCGAATGAACATACACTTTTCTAAGGAATCACCCAAAATCGTCTTACTAAGGCGCGCCAACACGAAACTTCAAAAAGTCTTTGAGGGAGCCTGCCAAAGGTGACAGTTTTCATTTCTTACAGGCCAAAAGTTCGGGCTCAGACCTACCAATCTACCTAAGAAGCCCTTACCATGGCTAGAAGTGCTGGGTACGCAAGTGCAAAGGTAGCGCCACCTTTCTACATCGAAACGCGTCACTAGGACCCTAGGCGCCATGGACTTCTAACAGACTCCACCAAACTTAACATGGTCCGCCCACCGTTCGATATCTTGTCTGCGTCGCCACGTTGATCTGCTATGCTCTCTCGGACTTCTCTACCACTCTCCGCGCTCACATTATCTCTCATCTCCCTGCCTGTCTTTTGAACTTCTCCACAGCATGGAGCAAAATGCTCGTATTTCCTGTGTATTTCAGGATTTTCTTTCCTTTTTCTCCACTGGCGGTCCACCTCCCACCCCTACTTTCACATTTGAGTGGAATCACCCCATCAATTTAATCCTGATTCTTGCCTTTAAGAAAAGGGAAGTGTTGTGATTTCTCTAGAGTAGCTCCCACCACTAATTTGCTAATCCAACGTAAGCCTCGCTGTATTCGAGGATGTATAGAAGATGGTCCCTACAGATAGTCCTAAAAGTTCTCAAAATGTCGTGAAACTTGCTGAAGTTTTCGGCTTTACAGTTCTCTACCATTGTCGGCCAACTAGCTCATGTATAGACGTGTGTAAGTGTTGAAATGTACTGGAGAGCTCTGAAAAATATACTATTGGAGACTGGGTTGGTGTCAACTATAGCCTCGGCGGTGCTGCTCGGAAAGCACTAGGTTCGGGCTCGAGTCACGGCTGAGGCAGCGCCGACCCCTCGTTGCAGCTTCATACAACCGACCTCTTCCTTCACTCATTAACACCCACTTTCAGTCCCTGGTCATTTTCAGGGAATGGCACATTTGCAGACCAGCATTGCTAGCCAGTACATTAGGCTGATTGATAGTGCCCTCAACTTAAACAGGCTTCATACCCAAATTTATCAACATCTTCTCGCAGCTACTTTAGCGCTTATTCTCTACTGACGTCCCAAAGCAGCAGCTCAGATGAGGGAGTTTCGAACAATATTGTGGAGGATAGAGTAGACCAGCACCACAGTTGTGCCGTTGTCGCGGCTCGAAAGTGCGCGATAATGGCGCTAGGACCCATACAAAATGAGCTAACTCTTTGACGGCTATTGTGAGCTAATGGACGAGATACCTCGTGCCTACCCTGGTGTATTACGGCGTTGCGGCTAATTCAAATAAGCGCGAGTCAGTGGAGCCATGGAGCAGGCAAGTCCAGACAACCTTCTGACACGCCCTCTCTCATTTTAAGGCACTAGAGAAAATGAAAACTTCTCTTTATGAGATTCCTATTACACTCATTTGAATAATCTTTATCCTTATCAATTCCACATCCATTGTCACTGAGGTATAAATAAACAAGACGAATGTCAATAATAGATTCATATGAACAACATAAATAAGAATAAGAAAACTAGTGAAAGATCAGACCGTTTGGCTGAGTTGCAGAAATCTCGCCCAGAGCATAGACAGAGCTTTTCTCCCGTTGACAGCTCCGTTCGACATCCTTCCGGATGATAGGCGTGAATGAGGGAGTCATGGGGTAGACATGTCATCGCTGTTGTCACACCTCGAATCGGATGCTGCCTGAAAATGATATTCTGAAGCCAAAAAATTCAAATTTTAGCCTCCAACTTCGGTCTTCATAGCGCCTCGGCACCGTTGTATTGTTTCATATTTTTTCTTTTGCTAACG